GCAAAATCAGCAAGGGGTCAAATACTTATTTCCCCCACTGTAAGTCGAGTTTTGATAGAGCCTATGCTTCTTTGTTAAAGATTGTGTGCCAAATAAATGGAGCACATGTTGGAATTAGCACTGTTTCCTCTCTTTCAATGCCAAAATCTCACCTACTTTTAACCTCAGACTGTCACAATAATGGATCAAATGTCAGATTTCTTTGTTTCTTTCAGTTTTAACCTGACTATACAAGACATAATAGATTTTCCTAACAATCAACCAGTGTTGGGTAAGTTACTTTAAAAATGTAATCCGTTACAGTTACAAGTTACCTTGTTTAAAATGTAATTGTAGTGTAACTTTTTCGATTACTTTTAAAAAGTAATGTAACTAATTACTTACTTACATTAAGGTTTTAACCCATGATTAATTTTAGCATGTTATTATTAGCTATTGGCCGCAGCTAGCAGTTCAAGGTTAACGTCTTGTTAATGATCATAAACAACGTAAATAAATACATAAATAAATCGGAGACAAGTCAGTCGTATCCGGATACAACATTTTAGTATCTATACTTTTTTAAGTATCGATACTTTTGACAACCCTAGTCAGAAATGTAGGACATGTCCGGAAAAAGAGGACGTCTGGTCACCTACAGTTGGGTAGGCTAGGCTAGGTAGGCTAGGCTAGGCTAGGCTAGGCTAGGCTAGGCTAGGCTAGGTCATAGACATCGATAAACGTTTGTCATGCATCAACACCAAACAGTCAAATATTAGTAAATCAATACGCTTCGTCCATCAGTGAGTTGCATATTTCGCAAAGTTTTCTCTTTATATTTTTTAAAAAATTTAACCAAATTTGTAATTCTTAATATTTTCGGAAGTAACTGTAACTCAATTACATATTTTCTCATTGTAACTGTTACGAATTACAGTTACTCTTTTTTTGTAATTAAATTACGTAACATCGTTAAATGTAATCCGTTACTCCCCAACACTGCAATCAACATAAACCGAACCGAACCCAAAACATTGACCACGAAACCGTGAACCGACCCGAACCGTGGATTTTGTGAACCGTTCCACCCCTAACTACCCGGTTTAGTTTAGTTTAGTTTTATTACGATCCCCATTAGCTGCCAAATAAATGGCCACTAGTTTTCCTGCGGTCCTCACATGAAGAAATTATATTACATTATAAACAGATCATACAAATAAAAATAAAAGTCACAGTAGGAAATAACAAAAACATAAACGAGAGTAGACTATACAACATATACAGACAGGTCAGTTCATGTTATCATTTGCAGTAGTTCTGAAGACACAATATTTTTGTCCTTGTACAGGATAGTAGGATACTTCCACTCCACGATGTTGATGCAGGCTTTTCGGATCGGGTTCTTCAGCGTCAGGATGAGCAGAGAGCGCGCAGGTCTGGGGTTTCCCCCGGTGGCCATCAGCTTCTTCAGCTTCTCCTTTTGTTTTCTTTTCAAAGTCTCCTCGTCCATGATGTAGGAGGCCAGTGGCGGGCCGCTGTTCTCCGCCATTGTAACTCCAACAGAGTATCAATCCCAAGGCTATAGCGATAAATACCAGCGTTATATCGATAAATACC